CGCTTCCAGTTTGTTGATTCCAGCATGACCCAGCTGTTCGTGCAGTTTAGATAGCACTTCGGAAACTAATGATCGCGGAACTACGATTCTCCTGATATAGCTTGGGCCAAAATCAAACACGAGCACACCTTCCTCGATAGAGAGCTTGTCCCACATCGCCCATAAGCATCGAGCTTCGTAACTTTTTCCCTCCATTTCCTTCGCGGTAGGTTTGTCGCTCCCCAACAGCCGTTTGTCATAGATCGGTGATACGTCTGGATCTGTTGCCTGTGCCTCCTGCCAGCGACCGTACTCCGAACTTTGAAGGTTAACTAGAGCTACGTGTTGTGTACTACAAGACGGGCAGTCTCCATGAGCACGAGTAGGAAGTCTGGAAAGAGCGTCCGCGTTGGCATGCTGTGCACCAGGTCGGTGTCTGCACTCAAAATCATACTCCTGAAGTTGTTCCTGCCATCTGGCGATTTGTCCCTCGGGGTCTCTGCAATTCTGTAACCAACGAAGTGACTGACGATCTGTTCGTACCAGAAACTTCCTCCCTAATAGGTAGTGTCGGTTCTGTTTTATAAAGAATACTACGGTTAGCATTTCCTTCCTGGTTGTGCAGTAATTCCGTTCTCTTGCACTGAGACTTCTACTGCTGTACGACACCACTCGTTCTATTCCGTCCTGCCCTTTCTGTGACAAAACAGCTCCAATCGCCTGGTCGCTCGCGTCCGTGTCTAGAATAAACTCCCCGGCATTTGGTGACAGATCGGGGAAAACCAACACCGGAGCTGCACAAAGGGATTCTCGTAACCGATCGAATGAATTTCGACACTCAACGGTCCATTCGAAGGTCTTACCTTTCTGTAACAAGGTATTCAAAGGCGCAGCGATCTCTGAGAACCCTTTCACGAATCGCCGATAGTATGAGGCTAACCCTAAAAACTGCGTAGTTCATCAACGTTGGCAGGGGTTGGCCATAATCTCACTTGCTCCGTCTTACGAGGGTCAGTACGAATCCCCATCCCCGAAATGACGTGCCCAAGATACGTTACCTCGGTCTGTAGTAAATGGCACTTTGTGGGCTGGAGTTTGAGGCCCACATTTACTAGGCGTGTTAGCACCTCCGCCAAGTTGTTTAGGTGCTCGTCTTTTGTTTTTCCGTGTACAATGACATCGTCCAGGTAAACGAGACACCTGTGGGGCATCAATTCGTGTAACACTTTTTGCATCAGTCGTTGAAAAGTCGCAGGGGCGTTAGAGAGGCCAAAAGGCATGGTCTGGAACTCATAAAAACCGGATGGTACTAAAAACGCCGTTTTCGCCCTGTCGCTCTCCTCCACTTCTACTTGCCAGTAGCCAGAAGCCAAATCTAGCGTACTGAAATAAACTGATCCTCCCAGTGCGTCAAATAGATCATCGATCCTGGGGAGGGGAAAAGCGTCTTTTCGAGTAATCTCGTTTAATCGTCTATAATCGACACATAGGCGAAAACCACCATCCTTCTTTTTCACTAGAACAACCGGGGCTGCCCATGGTGAAGTCGAGGGCCGTATTACCTCCTTTTCTATCATGTTATCTATGAGCTTTTGCAATTCAGTCTGCCAATGTAATAAATAAATAAATAAATATTTATTCTCGACTATGCGAGGCACGCCAATTGAGGCATGATCAGGTATGTACAGCTGTACAGACATTTTATGGGAACTGTAGTGTCAGTAGAAAATTGTTCATATGTCCACGCTTGGGACTGTGCGATGGTGAACATGCGATAGAACGATTGGGTTGTAGTGGGATCGGGATCCATTTGTTTGGACATAATCGCTCTGCCACATATCGCAGTCATACCTCGAGTAATTATAGATAAATCCTGAGGGATCCATTGGAAGATAATTGAAGAGGAAGCTATCCAGTATGGTGATTCTAATTGAGCTGCCAGTGTGAAGTTATGGGCTGTGACTTTATTCGGTGGCGAGTCACATTCGCCACGTTGCAGTGTTGTTAAACGGACATTTGTGGCTTTTTATAGGGAGAACGCTTGCCAGGCGAAAACCCACCACGTCCTGAAACACTGCCGCCAATCCATTGGATGGCAAGTTGTAACTGGCTATGTTTCTTGTTGAACGTTTTTTTGCTCCGTTATTCGCAGTCAAGTTGCGTCCCATTTTTCTGCTGACTGATGCGCTATGCGAGTGGCCATTGCGTGCCTGGGTCCTCTCCTGTTCCAGATCGGTAGGTCAGGAACTAAGCATTCTTTCTGGATATGATGTGTTGATCATCTGCAGAAACAGGTGAAGTTTTGAAGAATATACGTTGAAATATGTTGAAGTCTTGGAGGACAGGATAGGTTCCGAAGAAAGAATCGCAGATCCCCCGGGGTATGTAGTGAAATTGATTAGAGATTGTGGTAACCACGGCCATTTGAGCGGTCAAAGCGGATTGAAGAGCTTAGAATGACCGATTGTTCAAGCTTTGTATTGGCAGGAGAATGTGCCTTCCGTAGTCGAAAGTCCTCCAGTCAAGAGATATGTGGAAGAGGCATTGTTAGATAAATTGGACTCAGTGGTTCATGCCGCGGAAGAATTGATTGATTTGTCCGGTTAGTAAGTTGTAAAAAAGTTGATAATTTTCCGCTCATGTCCAAGTAGAGGAACTGTGTGCCTTGTATTGTTGTCGAAACGGATGACAATTCCTTGGGTGCGTGTCGCCGTACCTGTGACAGACTCGGGAGAAAAAGGAAATGGTATGCGTCTTGGGGGGATTTTAATCGGGATTGCATCACCGGTGTCGATACGGTGTTTCACGAGACTGGTTCGACCCAAGTCGGTACTGCGCCATGCAAATGCGTCTGAGTGGTTGCGCAACACGTCTTTGAGCCGCTTCAGTGTCTGCTCATCCGTGACTCTGTCGAGTGAGCGAATAAAGGCGTTAATGTACTTCTCACTCTCTAAGGTGTTCTCATAGGTTGTAGATGCTTCCAAAGCACCACATCAAAATGGGCTTTAACAAAACTGTACAGTTATCGGTGATTAGTTGGCGCCTGTCCAGATCCAATCGACACTTCAACCGGCGTAACAGATCCATCCCAACAATAACAGCAAACGGAAATTTGTCAGCAACAATAAACTCCTGGGTGAAGCTCTGTTTCGCGACGTCAACTTGTGCAGTTAGGGATCCTCGAACGGACAACAATTCGCCATTGGCGGCAGTTAGTCGGCAGCGACAAGGCGCGTATACACGTTCTGCTAGCTGGTTAGTCAAACTAGATCTGATTAGGCTCTTACATGCACCTGTGTCGATGAGACCTATCAATGGAACCCCTGCGATCTGTAATTCTATTGCTAATGCTGAATCTGTGGTCGACGCACAAACAATGGCTGGTATAAAGTGTGAATGCGATCGGGGCCACTCACCTGGGCGTCCGTTATTGTAGCGAGGTAGACCACGATTCGGAATTGGTCGGCGGGGCCATCGAGAACCCTGTTGCTTTGGTCGCCATGAGCCTGAATATCTTTGCTGATGGTCAGGATGCCACGTTAACCGTTCAGTTGGCGCACGTCTGGGGCGTCCATTTCCCCTCAAAGCGAAACACCCGGAAGTCGGCGTGGTCATCGCTTTGTCGACCTGCTCAAGTTGTTCGCCAATTCGTACGGCTGCATCCAACTCCTGCGGGGGGTGAAGAAGAAATTCACGTTTAATGGATGGTGTTTGGATTCCTTCTAGGAGTTGTTCTAGTATTCGTTTATCACGGGCGCTTGATGACTCGCTCTCGTATGCGGTGTCGGCCATCTTTCGGAGTTCGCGCACGTAAGTCCTAATGCTCTCTCCGGGCCACTGGTACCGTGAGTGGAATTCCCTGCGTAGGGGAGCAGGCAATGCAGGGGGGTCCAGTAGGCGGCGCAAGGCAGTGAACGTCTCAGACGTGACTTCTGTTTCCAGAATTTTACTATCAGCAACGGCATCAAAAGCATCCCCTGAGAGTAAGCCGGCGAGCACGCCTGAATGTTGGTGGACTGGGAACTGCCGGAGGTAAAGCTGGACTTGTTTCTCCCATCTGGAGTACGGCATCCCGGGAGTGTAACGCTCCGGAGGTGGGATTGCATGCATACAGACTGGCGAACTCGAGCCTGTTGACAAATTTTCCAAAGCACGGGACAAAACATCCAGTGAAGCGGAAAGTCTGGTAGTGGGGTCAACGACATCAGAATGGCCTTCGTCATTAGACTTGTTGTTCATTCTTGGCATGATCTTCATCAGACTAATGATGATGGATTCCTGATTCTTGTGACTTGGCAGGGTCGCCACTTTGTAACACGCAAGCACGGAAGAACTCCAAGGGCGGAGAACGAAGTTCTATTACACAACACGTAGCCTCTACAAAAGGTAATAAACATGAGGTAACTTGGAACAAAGGAAGTCACAGTTAACCAATGTGGTGTTCTTGTTCTCCTCCGGTAATGAAGCAGGAAAGGCGCTCTGAAAGGCAAACGGGAGACAGTGCCGTTATAGCAACGATTCAACTTTGAACGCGCGCCAAAACAATATCGATTCTTCTCTACACAGGCGACAATAAATTGGTGACCCCGACTCCGGAACAACCCCAGCGCCGGATATTTCGAACTTTTCTTCGGTGTGCTAGTTCCATTTATTTTTCATATTTTGCGGTTTATTTTTGCATACGGTAGCCTATTTTTTGCGTCATTTTTTAGCCATGGTTTCTGTAGCTCAAAAGTCGAAGTGCCGGGGGCTCTGGTTCGCTTACCGGTACAAGAAGCTGGACGCTCGTTAGGCGGAAGCCTGTATCGTCCACGGATTTTGACCTGACCTGACCTAAGGTAGACTCTCTGTGAGTACTACGCGGTAACTCGATTTTTTGGCGTGCCATTCTGATCGAGCTTTTCAGCTGAAATAACGTGGAAAACAGTGTTTGAATAAACACTTGAAACGAAATTTGACTTTTGTCAAATTTTCCCTGATCCAAGATATCTTGGATCGATTAAATTGGTACTGGCCAAATCGTCTTTGGCGCTTACTGGTAATTTTTCCGGTTGTTCCCAGTTTTAATCCCGTTTTGCACCCTGTTTTTGTCTTTTTATTGCGGTCGTTTTCCTATTGTATACGTGTTGTAATTCTAATCTGTTTTCCACATGAACATGGCTGTCTCGCTAAACACCGAGACGGATGGACCTATGGGGTCTTCGTTTGATGAGTCTACTACAGCTTGCGGACAGGTTAACTGTTCAGAGTCAGTAACAGATGCATCTGGTGGTATGCAGTGTGACGTCTGCTGCCGCTGGTATCACGAAAGCTGTACCGGCCTACAAGCTGACCAGTACAAAATGCTATCATCAAGCGTCCACTTTCTTTTCAGCTGTGCTGAATGCTGCGCCAAAAGATCATTGCGCCTGGCTGTCACCGGTGCTAAACTTTCAGCGTTGGCTTCAAGGTTGGCAGATGTTGAGTTGGCGATAGCTAAACTCGCCTCTATTGCTTCGCTCGATACGAAAATGGATTTGATTTTAAAATCCCTAAATATTTCGTTTGAAGACACAGCAATAGCCGGCAGCATTACTAACGATCCATCCACTGGAGTCTGTCAGTCGGTCATAAAGTCGCACATCCTACCGGCCAATCCAGGTGGTATTGCTGGCGGTCCTCATGATCCGATCAAAGTGAAGAAAAATAAGGTGCGGAAATACCAAAAGCCCTCTGCTAAAACCAGAGAAATAGTTGCCACGGCATCGAAAGAGATGCCGTCTTTGACAATCATAAACTCGTCTGACGATTGCACACAGAACTTTCCACAGACGCTGACTGTCTCGGCCGCCAGTGAACCAGCCTGTTCTGACGAAATGCTAGTAACTGCTCAATGCGATACAAAGTCAACGGCCCCTGCTCCAGTGAGCCAAAAGAAGAAGCGGACAAGATCTGCTCGTAAAAGTTCGAAGGGGCTTGAAGACCCAGGAACCAGTAAGACGCCGGCAATAGAGCGGAAAACCTACGCTACCGTTGCTTCAGCGTCGTTTGGGAAGCCAGTGACAGTCCCACCGCCAGTGGTGAAAACAGCTGGTATAGGTGTCGACTCCAAGGCACGTGGGGTAAACACTCGCCGTCGTGCCGATTCTTTCACTGATAGTAGCGTTATATTCCGTAACGTTACTGAATCTGAGGCCGTTCTCCCAAGGGAACGCATCTTGGATGACATCAAGTGGCTGAAACTGTGTCAGCAAGCTGCTTCCACCTGGTTTCCCTGGTGTCACTGTCAGAAAGCTGACCAGATTGGGGAACGTTCCTGTCGCTGCGCCAAATCCACGACCCCGACTACTTCGCGTAGTCCTTTCTACCCCGGAGGAACGCAAATCGTTACTGCGATTTGCATTCAAACTTAAGGGTAGTGGTGTCAGCGTTCAGCCGGACCTACCACTGGCAGATAGGTTGAAGTTAAAGGAGGCTATCAAAGACCTCAAAACTAGACGGGCGACTGGTGAGCAAGGCCTCCGTCTGGTGGGTTTTCAGGTGGTCAGCCGGAAGTTACTTTCCGCCCTATCAGAACCAATCCTGATGGCGCACGACCCAGGGATGGTCGTGCCGAGTTCCTTGAGGTAGTACTTAGCAACGTGCGTAGCTTAAGGAACAAGGTGCCCGAGTTGGGTCTACTTGTAGACAAATCTCATCCCGACATACTTGCTTTCACTGAGACGTGGTTGTCTCCGGATATCACGGACGGTGAGGTATATTTACCTGGCTACGCGCTGCTTGGAACTGATCGCTCCGTTGGTCGCCAAGGCGGAGGCGTTGTACTGTATGTGAGCTGTAACTTAGAGGTGTTGAGGACTTGCACATTCCAGTCGTCGGATCAGACTGTTGAAGCCCTATCGGCTGTTTTGTGCACTTCCTCTACCCAGTTTACAGTTATAGTGATATACAGAAGTCCTGGAAGTTCCTCCAGGGGGATACTTGACTTTATTCGCACTCAGTCTGTGAATAAGTGTTTAGTTCTAGGGGATTTCAACCTCCCGGAAGTCTGTTGGGCCGATCTTTCTTGCCATTCGGCATTAGGAACATTCGGTGCAGACTTCCTTGAACTGACTCTGCAAGTGCCTTTGCACCAGTTCGTTGACTTTCCCACTAGGTATATGGACAACCAAATACCATCTACTTTGGATTTGGTTTTCGCTAGGTCCCTGGACTTCGTGACTGACGTTTCATACGGTGCACCTCTAGGGTCTAGCGATCACGCATGCATATCCTTTCGATGTGCTCTTTCAAGGCACCTAGAGACCGCTGTTGAAATACTTCCGAATATTTGGCGTGCGGACTTTAGAGCAATGCGAACTAAGGCTTCAGTTCTGAACTGTGAGATATCGATGACTGACTCTGTCCAGTTAAGCTCTGCGGATAAATTTAAGGCATACCTTACAGAGATTTCCACTCCCTATATTCCACTCATGAGGAAAAGAGGGTTAATCGGGCCACAGCCTCCATGGATAGATACCACAGGCAAGCTCCCCAACTCAAGAAACGGTCTAGATGCTGGCGAACCTACCAAGCAGCTCCATCAGCCAGTACCTATGATAGTTATCGATGAGAATAGAAATAAATGTAAGCAACATCTCAGAACTGCTCGACTCCAATACGAGCAGGGTTTAGCGGACTCGCCGCAGCTAATCCCAAGAAGTTTTTTTGCTTACGTTAAAAGACGCAGCGGGGCAAAACTGTATATACCAGCTTTACTGCGAACAGACGGGACCCCGTGCGCAAACCGACTATAACATGGCTTGAATACTGAGTGATCAGTATACTGCAAACAATGCACGTCGCGGGAGTCGGTGTGCTGGCATGCGCAACAAGTGGCCCAGCCATCGGAGCCTGGTGCGTGATATAATGGTGCTGAGCGGTTCACTCACTCTTCCTGCACCAAATACGCGACGTCAAACACGCTCATTGCTCACGCGGTGTTCCCACCAGACATGAGCTAAGCTGCGAAGGCAGCGATGATCGAATGTGACGAGCCTCTTCATGTCTGTCGACCTGATGGGCCAGGTTTCACAGCCATATAAGAGAGTTGAACGGACGGCTGCGTTGTAAACTCTGCCCTTCAGAGCGAGAGTAATGTCGCGTCTGCGTCACAGGTGGCGGAGACTGGCAAAAGCACCTCGAGCTTTTGCTATACGGTTCGTAACCTCATCTTCGATCCCACGGGTGCTAATATAGCTGCCCAGGTACTTGAATTCCTGAACGACTTCTAGCAGATCACCACCAAACGTTAGCGCAGGGTTGGGTCCCTGCCAATCTTAAAGAAGTACTTTGCATTTCGATAGAGCAAAGCATAGCCCAAAATGATTGACAGCCAGTGCTAATCGGTCCAGTGCTATTTGGCATGTTTGGGAGCTGTCACAGATTAGGGCAATATCGTCTGCATACTCCAAGTCAATAAGTCGCTCACCAGGAAGTAGCTTCACACCTTCTAGGTCGTGTCCAGCGAACGCTGTTTCCATGACTTCATCAATAGCGAAGTTGAAGAGGAAAGGCGACAGCGGGCATCCTTGTCTCACACCGCTGGTGATACTAAAGGGTGGCGACAGTTTGCCATAAACCCTCACCCTGCCCGAACTATGCGCGTACAGCGCTTTGATAATATTTACATATTTATCAGGCACACCTTCCCTCAACAGACAGTCCCAAAGGGCACATCGATCGACTGAGTCGAAGGCACCTTTTATGTCAAGAAATACGACAACGGTGGGTCGCCAATAAACATGGCGGTGCTCCAACACTTGACGCAAGGTGAAGATGTGGTCGATGCAGCCGCGACCTTGACGAAATCTGGCTTGCTCTTCACGAATCTGGCTTTCACGAGTGCCAGTCAGTCTGTGGAGAATGATAGAGGCAAGCAATTTAGAGGCAATCGAAATCAGACTGATCCCTCTATGATTGCCGCATTCCAAACGAGAGCCTCCCTTGAAAATTGGGACAATGACGGAGCGGTTCCAGTCTGTCGGGACTTTCTTCTGCTCCCAAAGTTTTACTAGCAACTCGTGTATATCATCTATTAGAGCAGGTCCCCCGAATTTGAAGAGGGCTGGGGGAATTCTATCTGCTCCTGCGGTCTTATGCAATTTCAACAGCCTGATCTCACGTTCGACTTCTGCACGTGATGGCGGATCCAAGGAGACGGCCCAAGCAGAAGGGCGCTTAATGCCCGAAGAAGAAAGCGATAACTCAGGTTGATTAAATTGCCTTGCAAAGTGTTCAGCCCAACACTCCAAGCGTTTTGACAGTCTGTGGATCGGCTGCCCACTCTCGTCGCGTATGGTCTCGCTAACACCAGGTCTTCTGCTGCCTGTTTCCCGTATCAGACGGAATAACTTACGATGATTACCAACGGCAGCGGCTGTTTCCATTTCCGATGCACGATGAGACCACCAGGTTTCGCGACCCTTCTTCAGGCTAGCACGTAGTTTTTCCCTGAGATTTTTGCGAGTCTCATTGTATTCGTTTCCAGCCGGAATACGTCGGCGAGCATCCATCCAGAGACTGTGTAGAGACCCAATGTCCGGTTTTGCAATTTGCTTTGCCACATGAAGACATGCCTGCTAACAGCAACGCTTGACGAATATGCGACCAGTGATCTACAACGGTGTTTAGTGGGCGCCTGCTCAGCCCAGATGTCAGCGCACTTTGGTACACATTCAGAACATCTGGCTTCGCCAGCTGGCTGGTGTCAATCCGTTCACATAGACGTTGCGGACGTCCACCGAAACGCACTCGGAGTTCGGCGCAGACAAGTGCGTGGTCAGAGTCCACGCTCGTGCTCCAAATTGAGCGGCACTTTTGGACACAGCCTCTCCAGCGGTAACTGATTGCGATATGATCGATTTGCGTCCATAGCTGGTTCGAGGCTGCTGGCCGCCAAGTCACGCTTCTGCGGGTGCTGTGTCGAAAGTTAGTGCTCGCTAGAAAGAGGCGAGCATCTTCACACAGCTGTAGCAATCGCTCACCGTTATCATTACGGGAGCCCACACCATGTTGGCC